TTCACATTGATATAATTGATCGCATGTGTTCGAAGTTGTTCAGCTGAATAGAGATCGGCCAGTACCAAGGTAACACATGCATTTTCAGCCGTCAACGCTGCACACAACGCTTGTTCACACATTACCTATGGTGACTACATTTATTTCCGCAAGATACAAAAAGCTAAAAATTTTATTTCACCTTGAGACGGTCTAGATGATACTTATCAGCTGCAGCAATAAGATGTTGAGCCATCTGATCGACACTAGGAGAGTTTCCCGTGTACATAAAACACAACATTTCTCGCAGCACCTGTAATATATCAAAAGTTAGTTCCAAAAAGCATATATTTTCGCTAATTATCAGAAATTTGTTTCGTAGCACCATTTGAACTCTGGGAACTTTTCATCAAATCCTTTTAAGAAAATTAATAAGATTATTTTTTTAAAAATATTCCTGTTACTAGATGCGGATATTTACACAACGGGACACAACAACCCCAATCCTGCTATCGATGTAACGGATGTTTGCAATTACCGCAAAAAAGGCAAGAAAGATAATCCTACGTCTCACGGCAACCATACTTGCTAGTGACCCCTCTTCCATAAAGCAAAAAAAAATGGAATGTCTTCTTAGAAAACCAGAAGTTTCCTTTCCCTTCTTTAAACTTCAAATCGAGGAAGAATCTTAATAATTTTTTTTACGTTTTTAAGAACATTCCCAGGTTTAAGGAATGATGAATTGGTAATTTCAATGCAAGAACGAATTTGACTATTCACAAGGCGCTCGATTAGTTAATCCATTTAGTTTAATCATGCTATGATTGAGTCCACACCAAAAATGCATTCGCGAATGCTCGATACTGCATACTCAATGAACGCTGAGTAATGTTGATACATCCAGATTACACTCATTCTATGGTTGCCAGATCTTGTTTCTGAATAACAAAACCTATGTAAGAAGAAAGTTCACTTTAGCTCACTACGTTTCGCACAAGTGTTAGTAGTTTTATTGATTAGCACTAGTTGAGAAAGAATTATTCAATTGATACAAAACAAACTTTCGCAATTGCTTATGAACGAATAGAGAGATTTCTCGCTCAGTCTGGTATCCCCATTCGAACAAATGGAGAATCACGCGGTAAAATGACCGCCTAAAATGTTGCGAAGTGGCCTTGTCCTTCACTGTGAACGTTTTCACCCATCAGTCAAAGATGCATTGTTGAGTGAGCACTTCATACTTTTCAAGTTTAGACCAGCAGTACATCTAATTGATTGAAGATTTTTAATCCCAAATAACAGTTCTGCTCTTCACTGTTTCCAAAAGAATCTGTGCTGCGGGCTTGTTTTAGGATCAAACCCGAACGTATAACTTGGCTTCTGCGCAACGCAGGTTTGGCTATTACATCTACTTAGAAACAAATCTAAAGAAGTGCAGAAGTTACACAAGCGGCAAATCATAGAAGAGTGGTAAACTACTTTGGGACATGGAGTTTGATAAATTACTTACGTCTGGTTCAACATCGTCAATTGCGACCTCATTCCGCTCTGATTCCGTCATATTGTGCTCGAACATTGCATGGAATACACGCGATCGTGCTGCGAGAATCGCTTTGTGCACCTGAAAATAAAATACATTTCAACAGCGATCAAA